ATGGCATAATTCCAAGATATAGCTTTGAAAAAACTTTTAAAATAAGTATAACGGACAGAGAGGCATGGAAGGAAGGACCTCCTATCAATGCAGACATTGCTGTCTATACGGACGGCTCCAAAACTGAGTTTGGATCAGGAGCTGGTATTTATGGGGCCAAGCCAAAGACAAGAATCTCACTGAGCTTAGGTAAATACGCGACGGTGTTTCAGGCAGAAATTATTGCAATACATCATTGCGTGAAAGAATTGATAAGGCAAGAGTTTAAAGGCAAAACCATTGCAATCTATTCAGATAGCCAGGCGGCAATCAAAGCAGTCAACTCTTCGCAAGTTAACTCAAAACTAGTATGGGACTGCTTAGAAACCCTAAATGCACTGGGCAGTCAGAACAGACTGACTCTAGCATGGGTACCAGCACATACAGGGTACGAGGGCAATGAAGAGGCAGACTCACTTGCCCGAGCAGGAGCAAACAAAGCTCTGAATGGCCCAGAACCCTTTTGTGGTATTGCGAAAGCTATACAAAAGACTAGTATCAAATCATGGATGCAAACCAAATCTCAAGAATGGTGGAACAAATCGCCAGGAATGAGACAGGCGAAAGAGTTTATTAAAAAACCATCGCCAACATTCACAGAATATCTACTAAGCCAGAAACGAAGTTCAACTAGAATACTTGTGGGACTTCTCACAGGGCATTTTAGGCTCAACAAACACATGAGTACGATAGGTCTGACTGAAGAACTGCTGTGCAGGTTCTGTCAGGAAGAGGAAGAAACAGTAGTACACATACTTTGCCACTGTGAGGGCTTGTCAAGACTAAGGTTCCTTACGCTGGGTGAGGAAAAACCAGAAGCCCAGAGATACACAGGGGATCTGAAAGCTAGCCTATGGAGTCTCATAGAGAAGACGGGGCTAGCCGAAGAACTCTAATCGATTTTGAGGGTAGACACAATAGATCTGAAAAGGTCGCGGTGTGGAGGCAGATAGCCCGAAGGCCCCATTCTAAATCTAAGTGAGTCGGGTCTTGTATCTGTATATTATGCATTGGCATTGTAAGAATGCGAATTATTCAATTCATAATTTAATATAGATTTCCATTGGGCTTTAGTGATTAAATGAGATTAGTTGTCTCTTTTCCATTTCAAATTACTGAGAATTCATTTTCAAGAAATCGGTCAGAAAGTGAAATCGAGAGTCATCAAATTTAACTAGGGCCACACTCAATTCATGCATAATTTTTTCTATTACGAAATATATAGCAACCATAAACTGCTAATAGTGTCCTATTGACCATAATTCTCGACCACCCGAGGTTCAGCTCCTATTCCAAAACTATCGTAAAAGTTTCACTCTCTGCATCAATAAGTCTTATTGAATGGGGTACTCCAGGATATGTCAAGTAGGTATTGTTAGTTTAAGCATAAAAGTTGTGTGGGTATAGGGTTTTTTATTGGAGATACTTCCTTTTTTCCTATAGATGTGAATAAAAACCACACGTCGTGAATATAATTTTAAGAGAAGCGATCTTTTGCATGCCCATCAATTAGTTGACATTTATTATTTCGAGGAAATGGTATTAGTTTAGGCTACCATCCAACCAAGTCGAATTTCCACCCATAACGGGAATGAACAGACGAAATTAGAGTCAGATAGGGATTATAGAAAAATCTCAAAGTAAGTTCAATTTTGAATTTCATCCTGCTTGCCTAGTGTTCTGGTGCGTGAATTCAGTGTCTGGTAAATCTCTCAAAGATTGTATTTTTTCTGATATTGATAAAGTTTCCCTTCTGGTAATCATTGGAATCTTGTAAACTCATTGAGTTTTCAGAGTCTGGACTCAACTAGGTTAGTACCTTCCGTACTGCTTGGAACATCTAAATTTCAAAGTGAAATACATTTTCAAACCATTAACTTCCTTTTGACTGGTTAAGATAATATTAGTTCGATAGATTTCAACTCACTCAGGATAGCTGTAATCATCATAATTATCTCTTGTTCATTTATTTGCTTTGTTATATAGGAGCCATTTCCTCATCGAGTCATATTTTCTTCACTTATCTTTTCATTATTTGTTTATTTTGATAATCATTAAATAGATCGTTGAGGTTTTATTTATTCTTTCATTGCTGAACTTACCCACTTCTCTTCCAGAAGTGAACAATAAAGTAAATTTAATAGCAGTTACCAGATAAGTGTTTATACGTGTGACGGTTCGAGGTAATCGATAGCCCGCAGAAGCGATAGCTGAGCCCAGAGAGCTGTCACCCCTTCTGAGAGTCGAAAGGTAAGTGGAATTTTTTGATAATGTTTACGAGCCAACCCCAGCGTATTCTTATTGGACCTTACTTGCCTAACCTGTCTCGTTCGGCAAAGAAAATCAGTAGATGAAGGAGATGAATATTATCAAGAAGGTGGACCTAAGACAGGTGTAATTCAATCAGTTTATCTCGAGGATAGAGTATCTTCATCAGAGTCCACCCTTCTTACAAATTCGCGCAGTCGGTAGGATAAAAAAAAAATAAAATTAGAATTCAATCCGGATATAAATCAGGATTATTGTTGGATCAAAATTAAAATTCAATCAGGATCGAATTAGGAAGTTTTTCATTGAATTGAATGAAACATTGATTGGGATTACGTAATATGATTGAATTCAATTATTTCAAGAGTATCTGTCACATAATTTCTTGATAACACGCAGAATTGTGTTTTCAATTTCGAAATTTTGTCGTTAAAAATATAAATATAGGTGATAAAGATACGCAAGGCTGGTGTAAACATGGTCAACGCTAGAATGAATTCTTCTCAGCGAATAAGATTTAATTTAGTCTGTTTCACTCAAGGAAATGTAGATTGACCATTGATGTAAATAAGTAGTTAACTAGGAAAACTGAGGAAAATTCACAAGCGATGAAATTGATCGATTATTCAGCTTCGATTGAATAAGGGTTTTCTTGCAGGTATATAAAAATTCATTATTATTCAGACTACAGATGGATTGATAGGTTTAGATTTTTTGAATAAGTTTCAACCTATCATGGATTTCAGTCGGAGTATAATGAAGATGGAAGGATTCGAAATTCCAATGCATGGTGAAAATGAAGGAATTAAAAAAAATATATCAGCCGTCCGAATTACAAGAATTTCCAGAAAAATCTTCATTGCTATGGAACAAGATGGGGTTCCAGAGAATCAAGGTAACACTATGATGTTCGGAGGTAACAATTTGAATCACCCCGAAAGAGAGGGTTATAAAGACGAGCAGAATAAGACTCGCAAGAAAATTGATTCTGAAATCAATAGAGGGCAGAATAAGACCCATATGAAGAATTCAAATGAGGGTTCGTTGCATAGTAATGCCAGCCCGCACCTCTTTGACAGAGGGAGTCAATGTCACTACTTTGTCAACTTGTGTCCTCTGGAAGAGGTACCTGCCTCGTTAAAGATTCCTACGGCTGCCGCCAAGAGTTTGTATACTGATAATAAGGAGGTTTCCTACCACAGTTCTCTCAATAAACAGGATCTGTGGTTACTATACCACCTAACTCTCCCCATAAGAAAAAGGAAATTGTGATACGGATTCTTGATACTTCTCCTGTCGCACAGACCATAGGGAAGAAGTGTCCGATTTTGAGGTTAACAGACGCGACAGCGGAGAAAGATGATTCGGAAACTTTGAGTATGGAAGTACGACGGTTGTATAAAGGCATAAGTAAGACCTACAAGAAAATTCTACAACATTTTTCAATTGCTGATAGAAAGAAAATGAAGGAGATTTTGAGTAAATATAGTGATATATTCGCCGAGGAAAGTGAACCATTAAGGGCTACAAAATTGATACAACAAACCATTGATATAGGTAATAGCGCACCTGTTTATAAAGCACCCTATCGCGTTCCGTTTCGCCAGAAAGAATTAGTTAAAAACCAAATTGAAGAAATGTTGAAAGATGACATAATCAGACCGTCAGTATCAACTTTTTAGTGCCCCTGTAGTTATTGTAGAGAAAAAATCAACAGATGGGGACATTACGAATGTAATCGCATGCCTTTCGGATTGGCGAATGCGCCGAGTACTTCCATGAGATTAATGTACATGGTATTGTCGGGACTGACCGGATCCCATTGTTTTGTGTATCTCGATGACATAATCTGTTTCTCACGAAATAATATTAACGAACATATTGGAAAACTTAATAAACCGTGGGTAGGTCCATACCGCATAATAGAACTACGAGGAGTTAGTGCAACTGTAAAGGAGATACACGGAACTGACGAGAAAAAAGTGCATGTCAATCGATTGAAACCTTGTTTGGCGACACGGAAACAAATTTTAATCAACTAGGAAATATCCCGATAAAGCATAGAAATACCACGGATCACCATATGATGGAAGGCTATACGCGAAGAAATAATCGACAAGTGGAAAATGGGACACCAAACCCGCAAATCAATAATACGAGTCAGAAAATGAAGAAAATCATGCCGAAGTAGAAGAAGAAGCAGGAGTTGAGGAAGATGAAGAAAATAGTGATGAAACGACAAGTGAAACGGAAATTGAAACGGAAAATGAAAATATATCGAGTGAAAATGAAGAAAACTTTATAGAAAATCCTGAAATAGAAGAATTTCACTCCTTGTCATCTGAATCGGCAATAAAGAAAGTAGACTCGAAAATAGTATAGAAAATGAAGGTGAAATGAAAACAGAAATAGAAAATTCTACAGCAGAAGTACCAGAAATGAGTAACGAGAACAATCAACGACAAACGAGAAGTCGAGGACCGGCACAAGATTATCCGTGGATAAGTAAAAATAGAATATAATAACAATTCCACTCATGTATAATAGCTCATAGACAATTATATATTTTTTTCAGAGTAGATAGTAGAAAATTACAATTTGATATGTTTCAGAATATGTTGCTAGTTTTGTGTCTAGTGTTCGTTAGGCTGTTGAGCCTTACTCAAGGAGACATCATTGCGTATGATTGTCAGGACGAGTCAGTGGAGCTGACTAAACTGTCCTTGCTGAGAGTGAAGACATGCCTCGACCCAAGGAATGCCACGGAGACTACGAGAAGGAAGATCCAGCTCATCCAGAAGCGACAATACGTGGGAGTCCAGGTCTACACTTGCCTCGTCGTGGTGCAGCAGTTCATCCAGTACTGCGGAATGCACTTCCATACCAGCAGCGTCGCAGGAGGCCTAGGAAAGTACGTCCATTACGTCTCTGCCGAGACGTGTCTCAAAGCTTATCAGTTCCGGCACTTGGATTTTCGAGGAATAGGCGGCGGCATCATCAGCAAGATCAGCCTCAACGGGACCACGGAAGTATCAACAACCCTCCAAGGACACCTCGACATAAGCGGAAAATGCGAAGGTATCAAATTCACCGTCGGAGATACCTCGTACGAAAACGTCGTCGTGTCGGCCGCGATAACAATCAAGATGTCCGATTATTTCACTACCGCGGATGTCGAACGTAATGTCGTGAATCTTCGTTCGGGAACCATATGTCCTTATAATGATGGATCCTGTTTTGATGACTTCTCCGGAGAGGCGATATGGAAAGAAAAAATCGCTGATCACTGCACAAACAGTGGAGTCGATGTGCTTTATGAAGGAAATGCAACATTGCTCATATTAGCAAGGATCCAAAAACATTTTACGTAATCGTGGATACCGAAGATACCGTTTTCGCTCTGAAATTATCAAGTCAGAGGATCTATGTCATCAACGAGCTTGGCAGACCGAATAAAAAAGTTCGTTAGTAATTTTGGAAGATTCGTTAGTATTTTTCTACCGAAAATCACTCAGCTAGCTCAAAATACAGATTTGATGATGCATGTACTCAGCAAATTGCTTTATCTGGAAATTGCTGTCAAAAGACAAATGGCTGATGTTGTCTACGATGCCATCATGAAAAGGTGTCAATTAGGAGAGGAGATTCTACTAAACCGGATCACTATGGCCTTACCCTGATCATCTGATCTCGTGGGTAACCTTGTGAAAGAAACTACAGGTTATATTGGACGAGTCATGGGCGAAGTACTCTATATCGTGAAATGTAAGCCAATAATTGTCGAGTACAGGAGAGCCACGGCCTGTTACCAAGAATTACCTGTAAAGTACCAGAACAGGTCTCTATTCCGATTACCGATGACCCACATCCTGACAGAACATGGTACTGAAATAGATTGTCAGCCACTGTTGCCTCCTAGTTTCAGAATCGAGGGTAAATGGGTAGAATTGACACCTGCCTTGAGGAAAGCCGATCCAGCTATCGAACTGGATGCTAACACCGAGGACGAAATCGTGAAGTTGGCCAGGATATCACCTATCACGTCGGATGGTATTTATACCCGGGAAGATATGGAAAAGTTCCAACGCACGCTCATGTTCCCGAACGAAAAAAAAGCCGTCACGAACGAAGTCGCGCGTCGCGTAACAGGAAGAGGTATAGGTACGGACAATTATGATATGCCTAAACTCTTCAGTGAATCGGAATTTAAGAACTCTGCAAAATCTGCCGCGGAAGAAGTGTGGGGTTTCCTATCGAGAATGGGGAACATTTTCTCGATATGCGGTTTTCTGAATACCACATTCTGTGTCGTGAGCTATATTACGGGTGTGATAACGAACTATTTCACCATCAAGAAAGTAGCCAAGGACCATCCGCGTAGGAAACGATATTTGTGGGCTAGCTTTTCCCAAGCCTCAGCCCACCGGTATATTCATAGCCTTCATAGTAATAGTGATCCGGTAGAGCACAACGCCCTAAATAATATCGAACTTCAGGAAGTTCGAATAAATGACACTGATGCACCTCGGCATTCCGCGAGTGAAACGCAGATCACCCCAAGAGCACCTGTCGCTAAGGTCACCTATCCTACCCTCATACCTTGCGACAATCCCAATTGTTTGGAAAAGCAATGAGAACAAAGTTACCACGGACACGAAGACAAGGACCACGACCCACAACGGAGAAGAAGACGAAGACTGTTTCTCGGACTGTTCCAGGAGAACAAAAAGTAGGTTAGATAGATATGTATATATGACTATTCTTGAGTAACCATTCATTACCCAACTTGAAGTTCAAGACAAATAAAAAATTGTTACTCTTAAAGGGGAGAGAAATGTGAAAATGCGGATTATTCAATTCATAATTTAATATAGATTTCCATTGGGCTTTAGTGATTGAGTGAAATTAGTTGTCTCTTTTTCATTTCAAATTACTGAGAATTCATTTTCAAGAAATCGGTCAGAAAGTGAAATCGAGAGTCATTTAATTTAACTAGGGCCACACTCAATTCATGACTAATTTTTTCTATTACGAAATATATAGCTACCATAAACTGCTAATAGTGTCCTATTGATCATAATTCCCGACCACCCGAGGTTCAGCTCCTATTCCAAGACTATCGTAAAAGTTTCACTCTCTGCATCAATAAGTCTTATTGAATGGGGTACTCCAGGATATGTCAAGTGGGTATTGTTAGTTTAAGCATAAAAGTTGTGTGGGTATAGGGTTTTTTATTGGAAATACTCCCTTTTTCCCTATGGATGTGAATAGAAACCACACGTCGTGAATATAATTTTAAGAGAAGCGATCTTTTGCATGCCCATCAATTAGTTGACATTTATTATTTCAAGGCAATGGTATTAGTTTAGGCTAGGAAACTCGAGAGTTCATCTTTTGAATAGGGCAATTTATGTAGCATAATAAACACGTCAGAAGTAAGGGCTCTCGAGAAACATATATAGTTTATTTTTATTTTGTGAATATCTGCAGAGGGTACTTAAGAATTTCGAAGAAGTCCCCACATGTTGCGAAAACATAAATTATTTGTATGTCAAGTATCTGAAGCTGGTCAAAAGAGAAGGAAGGAATAGTATACACCCCTAGAGAGAAAAATCTACCACGATTGGTTGATACCATCCAACCAAGTCAAGTTTCCACCCATAACGGGAATGAACTGACGAAATTAGAGTCAGATAGGGGTTTTAGAAAAATCTCAAAGTTAGTTCAATTTTGAATTTCATCCTGCTTGCCTAGTATTCTGGTGCGTGAATTCAGTGTCTGGTGAATCTCTCAAAGATTGTATTTTTTCTGATATTGATAAAGTTTTCCTTCTGGTAATCATTGGAATCTTGTAAACTCATTGAGTTTTCAGAGTCTGGACTCAACTAGGTTAGTACCTTCCGTACTGCTTAGAACATCTGAATTTTAAAGTGAAATACATTTTCAAACCATTAACTTCCTTTTGACTGGTTAAGATAATATTAGTTCGATAGATTTCAACTCACTCAGGATAGCTGTAATCATCATAATTATCTCTTGTTCATTTATTTGCTTTGTTATATAGGAGCCATTTCCTCATCGAGTCATATTTTCTTTACTTGTCTTTTCATTATTTGTTTATTTTGATAATCATTGAATAGATCGTTGAGGTTTTATTCATTCTTTTATTGCTGAACTTACCCACATCTCTTCCAGAAGTGAACAATAAAGTAAATTTAATAGCAGTTTTTCTGATATAAGTTAAAAGTTGATAATATAATATAATAAAGGCAAAGAGTTACCAGATAAGTGTTTATACGTGTGACGGTTCGAGGTAATCGATAGCCCGCAGAAGCGATAGCTGAGCCCAGGGAGCTGTCACCCCTTCTGAGAGTCGAAAGGTAAGTGGAATTTTTTGATAATGTTTACGAGCCAACCCAAGCGTATTCTTATTGGATCTTACTTGCCTAACCTGTCTCGTTCGGCAAAGAAAATCAGTAGATAAAGGAAATAAATATTATTAAGAAGGTGGACCTAAGACAGGTGTAATTTAATCAGTTCATTTCAAGGATAGAGTATCTTCATCAGAGTCCACCCTTCTTACAGCATATTCACATTTATCTCAAAATGTCCAGATTTGGGGAAAATCTGAAAATGTTCAGAGGATTTTCATCATCCAAAAGAGGATCGTAAGGATCATGTTCAATTCAAATCACAGGTATACATGTAGGCCCACTTTCATTGACAAAGAGATCCTAACCATGCCCTGCATCTATATCTAGAATGAGATAAAAGGTGAAGCAGTGAACGTATCGCTCTGACTTTCTCGCGTTTTTTTATCGGATTGTAACGGGTGTTTTTCAATAAAATACATTAAATATATAACTCAAATATTTATGAAGAAAGTGTAATTGAGAGATCAAATGAGGTACCTAATTCTTGGCCAGAGTGATAGCCGGTTCGCTCAGTAGAGATGGTGTGGGTACACAACCATAATAAGCACAAAAAAATTTGAGATATAGAAAATAATAGGGCGCCACCCGTTTCAATTCTACTCTCACTCTGTGTTACCAAGAAAATTTATCAAAACGGGACGATAATCAGATGAATGACATATAGATACCAGATTTCAATAATTTAATAATAATAATTTACTAATAATAAATAATTATTATGGAACATTATGATATATCAATAATCGTATATTATAATATATCGATAATCCTGACTGAATTTCGTCTCTGAATTACGAGAACAAGAAAGTGTATGATTCAAATAACCCCCTCCATATAGCAATATGCGGTTCACAAGAAATATTTATATATAAGTAGGTATTCAACTTTGGAGTCAACTCCTAAAGGCGTTGTATTATGTAAACCTGTGTTATGTGTTCGGCTCCCCAGTGAGCGTTCTTGATAAAAAAAAATTGGACAAATATCCTCTTACCAGGTGTCAGCTGCTAACAAGCATCTTTTTTTTTGCTACATACAGCATCCAATACCATCTCCAATACTATCAACCTATTATGGGCTTCAATAGACTTCGATAGATGGTGAATCAAAATATCTTCAGCGATAAATCCACATATGGAACTAGTTCTCCTATTACGAGGACCCTAGGAATATAAAACGACAAAGTGATTTCAAAATGCCGATTCGAGATGGAAGACAGAGAATTTTCAAAGAAGGAAAAAAAAGATACATCACCTCCGAATATTTGAGGGCTTTCCATTCAACTCATTATGTGGAATCCAATCTTCTAAAATCTGAAGGGCTATTCTCTTCAGACGTGATGTAACTAGGTGCCTATGCAATGTGATGATTCGTGGAACTAAAATGTACCGGCATGATAGAAAAATGGTGTTTCTTTTCCTGAAGTGAAGAATACTCACGGTTTCAGTGCAAAAGCCGCATTAAGCGATAACAACTTCTATGACTCACGTCAAAACAGAGCACAACCAAATGGTGTAACTATTGTGTGAAGACAACCATATTTTGTCTCCAAAATCCTCAAAATTGGCGAAATTTTGAAATAGAAACGTGGCGTTTTATCATAGAAAATTTTTGGCACTGAAGCCTTCTAGAATGATCTTCGGAATTGCCATCTTCATCACGAATATCGGGAACATTTGGATTGATGAAACTTATTCATAAAAACATCTCCATCGTTTGAATATTCAAAATAAGATTGGCAGTACTGAGAGGTACTGACGTAGCACAAGAAAATGGTACTATATGAGACGTACTAATAGTGCTCAGTCTTCGTCCGACACATGGGTATTTGGTATAACAAAGAAAGACCAAAGCGCGAAGATTGTACTCCAAGCAGTGCGGAGAGAATAAAGATAGTACGGGAGCCAATGCTTACAATTAGTGTGGGAGACTAGATACAATTTCACTGAATTTGAATATTTCTCTCATAATTTAAGGTTCGACAAGATTTCATGGGTATGAACTAATGGGGTGGACCAAGAAAAGTAGGCGGTTCACCTTATGAGAAAATGGCATGTAACAACTCCCCCCTTACTCAGAAGAGAATTTCATAGAAATTCGAATTCCGGTCATAATAATTCATGCAGGAAAGATTAACAGCCAAACAACGCCTGGAATGATATCCAGAACGAAACAAGATTCGAATATTTAATATTAAGACTAGACAAAACGATTACAATTTTTATAACACGACATAGATGAAAAATACCATACAAAACATATCGGGATGCTTTCATGCAGGCGATACCAATACTATGAGGGAACTAGAGTTACACCGTATAGATATCAGAATTCCGAGTATGATGAAAGCAACATAAAACTGCTCGCGACCACAAAACCGCCTAATATGACGAAATTCGAGATACATAATTCTAATATATTTCAAAGTACTAGAATAGTCGAATAAGCAATGCAATTACACAAATTCATATATCCGATGATTTCAATACACTAAACAAGATACTACGGTTGAACCTAACAAAACAGAAAGTACTCAAACAGTGGGGACTCCACATTTGAACTAATCGCTAACACTATCAATATCAGGCTTCAAATCCTTGGAGTGCCAAATTCCAGAATTAGTGCCGTTTGAATCTGTAAGTTCGTAAGTCCAGGGACTCACGCGACGCTTGACAACAAATGGTCCTACGAATTTCTGAGCAAATTTGGAAGTGAAGTAATTGG